GGTTATCGGTGGCAGAAGGTGGTCTCGTAAATAACCGGGCCCTAAGCCATGGAGCGCTTTAAAGGTGAGAACCAATACCTTGAAGCGCACCCGGAAGACCACTGGAAGCCAGTGCAGCTCGCGCAGGCAATGTGTCACATGGGAGCGCCATGTCGCCCCCATAATTACCCGCGCGGCTGCATTCTGGACTAGCTGGAGCTTCCGAGTGCTCCTCAAGGGGAGCCCCATGTAGAGAGGGTTGCAGTAGTCCAGGCAAGAGGTGACGAGGGCGTGAGAGACCGTGCACAGGGAGTCCTGATCCAGAAAGGGACGCAACTGGCATATCAGGCAAACCTGATAGAAAGCCGCCCTGGCCACGGCCATCATATGCTCTTCTAAAGACAGCCGTGCATCCAGGAGGACACCCAAGTTACGAGCCCTCTCCATGGGGGCCAATGACTCGCCCCCAATAGCCAGCGATGGCACCAGCTGGCTATATCGGGACGCCGGCATCCACAACCACTTGGTCTTGGAAGGGTTGAGTTGAAGCCTGTTCCTCCCTATCCAGACCCGCATGGCCTCCAGGCACCGGGACATCACTTCAAGGGCATCGTTGGGGTGGTCTGGGGTGGAAATAATGGTTTCAGTACTACAGAAGGACAATCTGCTTTACTGGTACCAAGTGCTTATTTAAAACAAAGATGAAATGCAGTTTGGCAGAGGAAGCATCAAGTAAAAACATCAAGAAGATTTTGATTTGAAAGACTGAATGCAGAACTACACTCTCTAAATGGACTCATTGTCAGGGTTCCAAAGGCTGCCCTAATTAAAGCATGAGCAGGCCAGGGATGCTTTACGAGTTGACACTCATCCTGTAACATAGGGGTGTCAAACTCACATCGTCATGATGTCATCACATGACGTATCGTGACTTTTTTCCCCTTTGCTAAACCAGGCAAAGGCGTGGCCACCATGTGACGCATCTGGCCCGCGGGCCACAAATTTGACAGCCCTGCTGTAACAGCTCTGCAACCCCATCTGTGCTCAATGATCTGTCCTATAAGAGAAATGGGAAACACTTGATCTTCTCGTTACACACTACAGAGGTGAAAGCTACTCTTTTTTTCTTTTCTTTTCTTTTCTTTTCTTTTCTTTTTTGTGATGGAGCATCTGAGAAGAGGGTGAAAGGAAATATGATCTGCAAAAAGGATTTAGAAAGAAGTTTGAATGCTGGTGAGAGGATGAGTAAAGGAAAAGAGGAAAGAATTATAACTATCTTCAGAGATTTTTATTTCTTCCTCTGAATCTTTGTCCCCCTACTATCTCTGGGTCTTAAATTGTCTCTAGGAGACTGCGTTTTTCTTCCTCCAGTCTCTGCATTTATATATGAAATGCAGTAGCTATTTGAGGGATGGGCATTCTTAACTTTTCAAGTTTCCAAAACCTGGAGACCTATAGGTGTATTTATAGGGAAAGGAGAGGAACTGAACAGCAACTTTGAGCTCATTTTGTTATTTCCACAATTTACTGGTAGACTTCTGTCCTGTATCTTTCAAATGCCTAGCAATGCCCGACTATCTGACTGTAAAAGTTCCCATGTCTAATGTGATTGATAGTATAAACAGCGAGGAGATCTGTTTTCCACTGCTCTGGGTCACTAATCCCTGCCTCATTGTCACTGAACAGGAACTGAGTCTGGCAGAAATGTCAAATGCCTTCCCCACACTTTCTAGGCATCTGTGTGATCTCATAAAGCCATCACACTTTGGGGTAACTTCAGAGAATCTAAAGACATTCTAATTGGGGGGTGGGGGAAGTTAAATGTCAGCAGCTTGTCTGGCACGCAAGTATTCAGTAGGTGGAATTTAAATAGCTAACTCCCTGGGGAAACAGATTGCTTCCATTTTGCTATCATTCTTCTGCAATACAAGAGTACCATTCACCAGCATGTTAAGCATAATGCCTTATTTTTCCTGAACAAACAAACACAATAACCAAGGAGAAACCTAGGAGAAACAACAAACTGGGAATGTCACCCTTGAGCCCAAGTAGCAAGTTACAAGAGGAAGACAAAGTGAAAACAGTCCCAGGTGGAGGGGGGAAAAAATCAGAAAATAATAAATCTAGCATTGCAGTCTAAAACTGAATAGATTACACCCATTTGGGTTTCCAAACTCTTATAAACTATCTTCAATATTTAATGACACATACTTTGTCCTAAACTATGTTTGCCACTGCATGGTATGAAGGACCAACAGTTCATACTTTTAATTCTGGCCAGCTCATATGTCTTTGAGTGAGTTCAGCCAATAAAATTACTCAGCCTTGAGGGCTAATTTAAACAACATCTTCCAAATGTCACTTTCTCCCTTTATTGCAATAAATAAATTCAGAAATATAGCATTGGAGGTTATAGTGTTGAAATTATTATTCATAATATTAATGTAGGGAGGGTGATATAGGTAGTTTTCATTTAGTGATCAGACAATGACTGTTTACAGATATGACAGTGATGAAAAAGTAACTCTGATCAATGCAGGTCTGTAAAGCAAAGCTGAAGTAAGACCATAATGCCAGTCATGGTTTCACTTCAAAGCAGTTGTTTTACTTAATTATCAAGTTGCTTGTCCCAATTATAGTTGCTAAATGAGGACTACTTGTATAGTATTCATATATGACGTTGCCTTTGTGGAAGCTGTTTTAACTTTTTAATTATTATTTGCATATAAACTGTGTTTCTTTGACCCTTCATTTGGCAATCAACATCTTAACTGACGGTTCATTATTTTATTATATTGCAAATAAATTTCTAAACTGAGGGATGCCTACTCAGAATGGATATCCACTTCAATCCAGAAAAATATTTTGATCAACAAATTGAACATTTTAATATACTTCACTAATTTAATCAGCTTTTAAAAAAAAACAATTTGTATTAATAAAACACTTCATAGAGGCTTGGCGATTCGTGTCCATGAGACACATGTCAGAACTTGTGTGTCAAGCATAGTTGCCTTTTGAACATTTCAAAATAAATCATTTAGAGACATCTGGAAAATTCCAGGGAACTGTAAAGTTCCTTCCTTCTTAGCACATGCCTGCACTTTAGCCTTCCAGTTCCTGAAGTTCCACTTCTGTAAACTAAACCTAAACACAGAAGAAACAGTTGCAGAAAATCCAATAGGGATGTTGTCCATTTGTCTGTTATTGGGGCTCCAACTAGTTCAGTATTTCTCAATCTCAGCAACTTTAAAATGGGTGGATTTCAACCCCTGGAATTCCCCTGTTGGTGCTTGTTGAAGTCCACCCATGTTAAAGTTGCCAAGTTTGAGAAACTATAAGCAATGATCACATATAAAAATTCCACCTCCACTGAGGCATTTAATTCAATTTAAATTGTGTAAGTGATGGCAGCTGGAACTTGTATTCATATACAATACTAATATTTTTAGACGGAAAGCTACAATAGGGACATCACATCTAGGATGCACATTGATTTTAAAAATCACCCTGTTAGGATTTCCATACTATGGTGAAATATTCATATCTGCAGAGAAACAGCACAAGATAGGGTTATGCGTGAAATCATTTTAAGCAAGGCAGCTAAAATAACTGAAAAAGAAATAGAGCTCAAGAATGTAAATCACTGGATCAATTAGAAATATAATGGACATTGTAATAAAGAGTTTTTTGGACCAGGGAAGATATATTAAACCTAATAAGATATGACAAAATAAAAATACACCAGAAAAATCTTCATAAATGAAAATCTGGTTCAAAACTGAGCAAAAGCAGCTCACGGAGATAGCATATGACTCAAAATATGGAAACCATTGGCCAAAGATATTCCGTTAGAAGCAAGAAAAAAAACCATAACTAATGAAAAATTGAGTGAACAAGAATTTGCCTGTTTCTGCTCCATTATCTTTTAAGTTGCTTTTAGACAACTCCCAACTGCACCCCAGCTCAGAATGTCGTCATTTTAGAGAAGGATAAAACATGCTAATCTTTACCGCTTTAAAGAAATCCTGAACAACAGAGCATTTGTTTAAATGTGAAGTTCTTTCTAGGAAAAAGTTTTCCGAATCCAAATGGAAGGTGGTCAGTTGAGGGTGGGTGGTTTGTGAATTATCAGTCTTTCCAAAGAGCCCACTTCATTCCTTTTCTTAAATATCTTCCTCCCCAAAGCCCCATATGACTAACTCCCACCCGAGATCTCCAAATTTTATTTTCAGTTGTATTCATGTGAACTTGGGAGGTTCCTTTCCTCGACATATCTTGCAACTTTTCTCTACTTAAGAAGAGTGTAATTTAGTGGTTTTAAATAAATAACTGCCACAGAAGATTGATTTTGTTCTTATCCTAGTTGCCAAGGTTCCTCTTGCAATGTAGAGTCTGCCTTCTGCGTACTAGAAATTTTTCTGCAATAAAGTTCAAAATGAGAAACTTCTGTTGATTAAACAATCACCCAATTAGAAAGTCCCAACTACTACGCTGTGAAGGATGATCCTTGTTGTAAGCTAAAGATATTGAGAACCAGCTTATGGCTTTGTTGAAATAAAACAGCATTTAGTCAGAACTTACAATCTGGTTAACAATTCAAAGTCTGAGCCCACCAGAATTTCATCGGTTTGAATAAAACAAAGTTCAGCTGTAAAAAAAGATGCATTTTTCTATGCAGAAATGCATAGAGATTTGTAAGAATAGGCACAAGGAAGCTCTGAAACACTGGTAGTTCAAAAGGAAGGTCTGTCTCAATGCAAATTAAGATTAATAGCATGGAGCAGGACCACAAACAAATATGAATTCCACATGACAACTTTTAGCCATATTTATGGAAAAAATGTTGTAAGCAAAATATTATATGAAGGTATTCAATAAATAGCTTCAAGAAGATCAAGCTACACATAATTGGCATATACCTGCTTGTGCACAATCTTGTACACTCGCAAGATGTTAACATTCTTGAATAAATATAATGACCTGAAAAAGAAGAACACTGCATTGTAGAGTCTGCTTACCCATAATTTGCTGTCATAATAAAAGGATCCTAGGAGTTTTACAATGTGTGGGTGATCACAAGTAGCAAGAATCTCTATTTCCACTATATAGTCTTCCAGCTCATCTTCACTTTTGGTCTCAATAACTTTGGCAGCAGCTAAGGCTCCGGTCTCCCTGTTTATGGCCTGTAATATATAAGCAAAAGGAATATTACCTCATGTGAGAAATGGATGAGTGCTATTCCACACACCTGGAAGAACAATTTTGGGTTACGATTATTGTACCAAATAATTAACCTGGTGTAATTGGTACATGAGAACATACTAAAATGTGTCATGTAATGTCAAAACATATATGCAATTATGGGAATTAATTAAATTAACTACATGATCAAGGCAGCAATCAAATATTCTTATTAAATCTGAAGGCAGCTCCATCTGAAACCCATCACTGAACAACTACCATGTTGAGGGATCACAGGGAAAAGGTAAATGCATCTTTTTTTTTGTCAAAGCCATTGGTATGACATAAATTACCATTTTTGTACATGTGGAACACAGTCTAAACCATAGTTGAGTAGCTTACAGGATGAGGCAGATTCCTACATTAGGATTCTGACAGGGATGGGTTCTACTTACCTTTACTACTGGTTCGCATCGTGCCCACACAATTGCGCTTGCTTCGCTTGCGCGCATGCTCTTCTGTGCATGCGCACACTCTTCTGCAAATGTGCATGTACTTCTGCGCATGCGCGGTAGCTTCTGTGCATATGCAGATCACTTATGATGACATCCAGGTCAGTGGGCGGAGCCTCCCGCTGGTTTTACTACCGGTTCTTGCGAACAGGTCCAAACCGGGGGCAACCCACCACTGGTTTCTGACCAAGTTGCTAAGCAGTTAAAAGCTATATGTATTCAAATCTGCATATGTACTTAGATGTACTTACATCTGTATATGTAAGAATGTTTGCAGCCCATTTACCAGCAAGCATCAAGATTAAACTGGATGTCTGTCCAGTTTAAACAATTCTAAGCAATTCATAAACGAGCATGTTGTTCAAAGCCTTCACTATCAGAACATCCAAAGTAGGAAGTGGAGCTGTGGAGCAAAAGGTAGTAATGTAATGGCTCAAAGTATTTTAACAACTTAAAGCAGGATGGATCAAAGATATATGGGCAAAATGATTATCACCTGGCGTCCAAATATTGTAAATGGATTGTATTGTAAACTGAAAATGTAGAGCTCTTCAAGTTATATGGAGTAATTCTTTTTAATAAACTTCTCTAGATAGCATGAGTTGAGTTGAAGGGTGACAAACACTGAAGTAGTTTAAATTAAGCAAATTTGAGTTTCTACCAGACAGTCTCTAATACTTTACTTCTTCTGCATCTGGCACTTCATTTCTTAACCAAATTAGACAAATGAACTCTTTTAGGACACTGTTTTCCAAATGCTGCTGTCTTGATTAGCTAGAGACTAATACAGGTTACAGAGCAGGGTACTCCAAACCTGGCAACTTTTAAGACTTGTTGACTTCAGCTCCCAGAATTCTTCAGTCACCAATGCTGGCTGGTGAATTCTGGAAACTGAAGTCCTCAAGTGTTAAAGTTGACAAGTTTGGAGATCCCTTTACTAGAGGAAAACTGAACTAGATCTTATTACTGATTTGAATATGGTCAACTAAGCCAGGCAAAGCCCAGCAGTCTCTATAAAGTTTGAACATCAGTTCTGAAAGCTTTTTGAAAATAGTCCTGACCAGCATTGGCCCTCCTACTCATCTTAGATAATGATATCTGGTTCTGCTTCCTTGGTTATCTGAACCCAATTCTCAGGGCTATCTCTCTTAATTTGGCCAAAATGTGCAGGAATGAGCAATGTACCGGGCAAGAGAGGGCAATGCATAAAATCCTTGTTGAGTTTCTCTAGACTGCCTCATTTCCCAGGTCAGTATCCAGGTAATCTGCCAAGGCATAGGGACAATCAGTCATGATTATACACATTATCCACAAATAGTTTTTCTCCAGTTAACAAAAAGGGATACTTAGGACAAACTTTTTGTGATAAACAGAGGTACACATATACAAACAGATGAATAGCTAAGTTAGTAACAGCCTTACTGAATAAACTTAACCAATCTACTTAAGTACAGCATAAGACCATATGCTCCCCATCTTTGTCTAATACTCTAAATGTAATATATAACCCTCTCTTTACTTGAAGAGACGTGGCGGTACTTTCCATCCTGAATCTTCTGCAAAGCCTACATCGGGTGATGAGTGTTGTGGGCTGAATGAGCTTTACTGGAAAATTCTAAGGGCTTGTTGTCTACATTATTGCTTTCTCTTTTTAGATTTCTGTTTATAATATCTTCACAGACAGTTTATAATGGCATTTGTGCCCAACATAAACATTCAAGGTGTGCTTGAGTGAGGACAACATTGGAAAGGCAGGAATATGTTGGCTATTTTCCTGTTTCCCCCAAAATAAGATATCCCCCAATAATAAGCCCAATCTGGCTTTTGAGCACATGGCAATAAGGCCAAGCACTTATTTCAGGATTCCAAAAAAATATAAGACAGGGTCTTATTTTTGGGAAAACACAGGATGATTTTATAGTGCTGTTTAGTAAGCTGCATTTGGAGGCTGAAGCTGAGTTTGTACCCTTGCATCATCCCATTTCTTTCTAAAAAGAGAGGGCAAGATGGGGAGGAAGAAAAAAGTAAATAATGTTATTTTCTTTTTAAAATGTTATTGTACTTCCTTTTAGAGAAGTGTAGTTTGTGCTAGCAAAACAAAAGATTAGAAAGCACCGGGAAATATTCAGGCTTACTGTGTGGAACTTAGTACAGGAAACTACGTACACCAAATGGTAGAAAGATCTGCTCTCTCTCACCACAGGTTGCAGAACTATTGGCTTGGAGTAGCAGAACACAGTTCTACTCATCACAGAATTACCACCAAAATGACAAGTGATATTAAGAAGTACAAGAATTTCCAACTGGAAGAAACAAACTAAGATCCTAGTGTATAGGGAGATTCTCAATCATTCAGGTCGTGGTTGTCCCAAGGTATTTTTCAAAAGGCAACTGGGCTTTCTTTCTAAGATCCCAATGATACTGGTTAGGCACCAACTTTAAGAGATCCACTATAATAAGGACCCAACCTTATTGATAACCCTCCAAATACTGTACAACATCTTTTCTGGATTATGTGTTGGCATGACTGTAGGAACTGTGCTCAGATAGCATCCTAAATCAGTTTTTTTAAAATCATCTTTTGTTAAACCAGGAAAAAAAAGCCAGATTCATTCTTAACAAGAGAGTAAACGAATCTTTGTCCATGTTCATATTTATACCTGCTAACCTGTATACAAATTAATACATAAAAAATGACAAATTAATAAATAAAATAAAAATAAAAATTTAAAAATGTAAAAAAAAAAAAGAATCCTGTTCCAGGACAGTAAATGGATTGATATTCTGCAGGGGAAGGAAGCATCTGTTGAGTCAAGCAACAAAACTCACAAGACAGAGAGTTATTTTTGTGTTCATCCTCAAGCCTGTCTTTTGACACTCTACCCCATTACTCCATTACTTATCTATTCATCCCATACATTTTCCAGACTCATATTTGCAACAAATCTTATTTGCCAGATAACAGAGGCCGAAATCAAATATGTTAATAGCTTGTTTTATATGCCTTTAATGCCTGTTAATTATTACACTTTTCATTATTCTAATTTCCCAGTTATTTCTAAAGCAGTATAGAGCAAAAGGAGATCATTTGTAGAACAGCTATTCAGTCAGGGAATGAAGAGGGAGAAGAAACTGTATGAACGTTTACAGAGACCTTGCTGCCTGATCATGAATTCAATTCAGTTATTCTGATTATGTAGTAGAATATTTTTATCACAATTTCTAAATTTGTGGAAGTGTGAAACATAGAAACACAGATCATTGAAGTTACATATTAAGTCAACAAACTTCAGTGATACATCTTGCCCTCAGGACAAAGTACAATGCTCAAAGGTTATTCTCAGTATGCTTTCCAAAGGATTTACAAATATATTACATTTCTTCATCTTCCATCTGTTCAGTGCAGTATGAAAATGATTTCATAGCATATGGAGTATGATGGACAACAGCTAAGAGAAGAAATGGAAATTTTCACTAGTGAGAATTAGAGAAAAAATATTATTAAAAATAAGTATTAGAGAAAAAATGGCAATGTAATGAAAGATTACAAACGTTATGTGGGCTTTTTGCTGAAAGTAAAAAAGATTGAATTCATGATTTCAGAACTCAGGGATTAAAAAAGGAGATGGGGAGAAAATAAAGATGGAAATTACTTGATAGAAAACAGAAGGCATAGTTGTATGTTTCCTTTTCTTTCTTATTTACTTTTTCTATTTGACTTTCTTTTTATTTTTGTATAATTTTACTAAATTGAAAAATTCTTTCTCTCTCTGGATATATAAAGAAATGAAAGCTTTCACCTGATGAACTACCTTTAGAATGGCTTTTTCTGTGTTATAGGCATATTTTTAAAAATTCATTCCATGGGGCAAGACTCAACCATTGCAATGTTCTCATACACGTCTTAGCTTGTTCTGTGCTGGCCTCTATCAGGAAGCAAACTTCCTTTCATTTCAGATGGAAAGTGATTAAAACATCTACTGTTCCCAATTTATTTATTTATTTATTTTCAGGAACGAGAGTACATTTATTTTATTTGGTTTTTTATCTGTATTTCTTGCTTAATGCAAATCTTTTTTTACATTTTTTTAAAAAAATCTGTGTCATTTTTATATTTGTGGGCTTTATCTGTTGTGTGTCGCCCCGAGTCTCTTTTGGTTAAATGGGTGACTATACAAATGTGATTAGTAAATATTGGGAGCAAAAGTAATAATGAACTATTCTGTTCAATTGAAAATGGTCAAGAAACTCAAACAAGGGGCATCCATGCATATGTAAACATGTGACAACTGCAGGATAGAGTCATAACATTTGAGTGTTTCTCTTCAGAATTCTCTTCAGTCCTGCCATCTTCCAGAATATCCAAAGCCATTCCCTTTCCCACTCAACTTTCAATTTGGGACATTCCCAAACACCATTTGGGATTACTATGTTCAGTAATCATGTTTCATCCTCACTGTTTATTTTTCTGTTTGTACAGAGTCTTGTAT